TGTTTGCATACAATTTTTAAATTTGAGTGTTGAATATTATAGTTAAAAATAAATAGTAATTGAATTTAAGTTTGGGCTCTGTTGTTAATTGTAAACTTATAGCAATATAAAAGAGCTCCCTATAGTTTAGAGCAGAAGCTGATGTAGATTTTTATCTCTAAGAAAATTAATTATAATTGAATTTATTTAAAGAAAGAGCAATTTGTTCAGTAAACCATTGTTAAATTAAAAATTTAATTTTTCCTCCTGCTGTACCGAAACCATACCGAACCGTGATGTTAAAACTGAGGTACGTACAGAACCGTCATGTTTGTGTACTGTTACACCCCTATTATCCAGTAATCACAAATTGCTGAAAATGTCATGAAACTGAAAACATCATAAATTCATTGGTCAGAAGGCGTGGGAACCCTTGACAAATGGTTTTGCAACTTTTGTTGGCTCGGAACGGTGAAATATTTTGATTTCTGATACATGGTTGTCCAGTTTTCTAATTGTCCAATGTCGATTCACAGGTCCAGCGCACCATTGCCAAACAAATTCAGATGGTACGTCAAATCGGGAAGGGGCGGTATGGAGAAGTGTGGCTTGGTCGCTGGAGAGGAGAAAAGGTTGCGGTGAAAGTGTTCTTTACCCGTGAAGAGGCTAGTTGGTTCAGAGAGACCGAGATTTACCAAACGGTGCTCATGAGGCACGAAAATATACTCGGTAGGTTCCATCACAAAAAAAAGGCCAAAGACACTGAGTAGGGACACACATTATATTGTATATATGCATTTAAAATAATCATTATCGATGTACAGAGTCAAACACATGTTTCTATTCAAAATATTATCATATTAAGGGACAATGAAACATTTAGCTGGTTCATGGTAGTTTTTTTTGTAGTTTTGTACCCTGATATAAAACATTTACAAATTTCATATTTTATTTACATTAACACTTATTTTTCCTATCTTGCTCCAGGCTTTATAGCTGCAGATATTAAGGGCACGGGAGCGTTCACTCAGCTTTTCCTCATCACAGACTACCACGAGAATGGTTCTCTCTATGACTATCTGAAATACACCACCCTGGACACACAGGCTCTGTTGAGGCTGGCCTATTCTGCAGCCTGCGGCCTGTGCCACCTCCACACAGAGATCTACGGTACGCAGGGCAAGCCTGCCATCGCTCACAGAGACCTGAAGAGCAAAAACATCCTCATAAAGAAGAATGGCACCTGTTGCATCGCTGATCTGGGCCTGGCTGTGAAATACAACAGGTGAAGACACTCTTGCAACACACACTCAGACATGCATGCAAACACACCAGCAACGTAAAAAAACATAATTGAAGCATACTTTATTTACAGCTAGTATGCAATCATGTGCATTTGCTTTTATTTTAGTGATACCAATGAGGTGGATGTCCCTCTGAGCACAAGGATGGGCACACGGCGGTACATGGCACCAGAGGTCCTGGATGAGACCCTAAATAAGAACCAATTCCAAGCGTACATAATGGCTGATATTTACAGCTATGGGCTCATTGTTTGGGAGATGGCCCGCCGATGCGTGACAGGAGGTTAGTTTATGTGGGTTATGTCAGTGTATGTGAGATTAAAATGTGTACACATTTCAAAGCATGTTTATGTGATGGGTTTGTTTTAATAATGGCATTTTCTTTTATGTGCAGGTATTGCTGAGGAGTATCAGTTGCCATACTGGGACATGGTACCTTCAGAACCGTCCTACGAGGACATGAGGGAAGTGGTGTGTGTTAAAGGCATGCGACCAGTGGTGTCTAATCGCTGGAACAGTGACGAGGTAAGATCTAGCATTGCAGTTTAGTTCAACAGCGCTGTTAAAATTTTTTGAAAACTCAAAAGACAGAAACAAACAGTGTTGCATGATCCTTCAGAAATCATTCAAATATGCTAATGTGGTGCTCATGAAACATTTCTTAATTCAGAATTCTTTGAATAGTAAGTTGAAACGAACAGCGTTTATATGAGAGAGAATTTTTTAACAATCTACAAATCTTCAAGTAAAAAGTCAATCTTATCTGTTTATAAAAACTTAATTTTGTCAACATGTATGAATACATTTGCCATGAGGGAAGTGGTGTGTGTTAAAGGCATGCGACCAGTGGTGTCTAATCGCTGGAACAGTGACGAGGTAAGATCTAGCATTGCAGTTTAGTTCAACAGCGCTCAGTTAAAATTTTTTGAAAAACTCAAAAGACAGAAACAAGCAGTGTTGCATGATCCTTCAGAAATCATTCAAATATGCTAATGTGGTGCTCATGAAACATTTCTTAATTCAGAATTCTTTGAATAGTAAGTTGAAACGAACAGCGTTTATATGAGAGAGAATTTTTTAACAATCTACAAATCTTCAAGTAAAAAGTCAATCTTATCTGTTTATAAAAACTTAATTTTGTCAACATGTATGAATACATTTGCCATAAAGTTGATCTCATTCCTAAAATGCCACAAAACTTTTGATTTCATGGGTTTTTTAAAACATCACTGCTTTGTAACTGACTATTTTATAGTTGTGTAAAATGCAACCCTAAAACAATAGTTTTTTTGTTTTTTGTCTCCACACAGTGCTTACGGGCCATGCTAAAGCTCATGTCTGAGTGCTGGGCACACAACCCAGCCTCTCGCCTCACAGCTCTTCGAGTCAAAAAAACACTCGCCAAAATGGTTGAATCACAGGATATCAAAATATGATCAGTTTTCCCTCCAATGCCAGTCTGAGAGAAATCATGGAGATATTTATGCTCACTTTTATGAATTATTGCCTCAGTTCCTAAACAGACCTGTGGGAGTGCTGCTGAGCAGAACATTTGCCTCCTTGTCTGGCTGTGTTTCATTGCCCTGTTGCAGTAATGCTCTTAGTGTCATGTAGCACCCTCTGCTGGACTGTATGTGCCATAGTGCATCCACGAGGAGCTAAGGACAACTGCTCTGCAGGCATCGGTACTCTCATCCTCCCCATTGCCACCATTTTTCCTTCTTCAGATGCTCTTTTATATATTGGGAGAGATTCGAAGAGCATATGGTGCTTTCTGTGAAAGCTGTGTAATACGATACGTCTGTATGGAGGAGTGGCATGGTGCCAGCAGTGATGGAGCCGTTTGGGAGAAGGCTTGACGACTGACCCCTCTGTTATTGACTGAGTTGAGAGGTGGACATATTTGGGGTGATATAATATGCTTGGGATATGCTCCAGTGTGGTTAGCGTCCCAAAATGGCAACTTTGCATTTGGATCATGTGCAGCTGTGGCCACTGAAACATCAAAAGTGAACAGACCCTATTTAATTCAAATGACCTATATTATATGTATAAAACAAAAAAATGTCCCGTTACTACATATTGATATTTTAATTAATAACCTTTTGGAAAAAAATTTCCTTCAACTGCTTTCCTTTCTGAGAATCTGTCCAAAAAAGAGTGTTAGCAATAAGGTTTTCTAGTTGAAACCTTCCCATTTTCTGAAGACTGGGAATGTATTCACTATTAGGAATAGAAAGTTCAGGTATAATGACAGGAGTAATGTGATCATTACTCCAGCTCTGGCCTGAAGAATTGAAGTACCACCGATCAAATATTACCAACACCGCCGCCATACAAGATCTATTCATCTAGAAAATATGGTGACTTTCAATCTCTCAGAATGGCAGATCTGATCTGGCTTATTGCAGGTGTGTCGGTGCAGATGTATGCCCACTGCTCCCGAATGCCTCATAAATGTTGTTGTATTTTATCCAATAGCCTTCGAGTCAACCTCACTATATCACATCTGATTCATCAGTGTCAGGTTGGATTGCTGTTTTCAATGCCTCATTTAAACAGTTTTGCCTTGAATCTAATGTTGTGACGCTTGGGAATCATATGACTCATAAATGTCTAATGTGATAGAATAATGCAAATGCATGTGCTATTTATTCATGTCATGTCATATAGTATAAATTACTGTGGTAAGATATTTTTACTTGCAGGACTATTAACACTGTTCTTGCAACTGACATTCTCAATGCTTTTACAGTGCAGCTCAACCTTTCAAATACTAAATTTATGACTTCAAGATGAAATTCTACATTTAATGACTTCCTATGAAAGTGTGGGTGTGAATTATCATTATTTGTCATTTCTATAATGTGTAAAACTAGACCCTTTGTATGTAATTTACTGAAAAGTCAGGACAGGCGACTTTAGTTCAACTTTCATATACATGAAAATACTTTTTTTTCATAACTTTTTTTTTTCAGAAATAAGATTGTGAATGCTTTTTTTTTTTTTTTTTTTGAAAGAGCGTAATCTCAAACTTAAATCACACAACAATGCATTATTAGCACTTGTGGAAAATACAGGTTTAATTTCAAAACCAGGGTCCTTTGTCTGAAAAAAATCAATAAAATTGGTCATTCCTGCCTTCAGGAATGTTATATTATTTAAATAAGTTGTTATAGCAATCTGAGAAATATAAATCATACAGGTACAAAACCCTTTACTTTGCATTGAAGATTCAGATATCCCATTGCTTGTGTGTCTTTTCTAAATGTTTGGGCTGCAGTTGTCCTCAAGCCTATTCTGTCCATTGCAACCATGCCAGTTACTTTGTAAAATCATATTTGAACTAATTTAAGCTCATATGTCTAGAGAAATGACTACACAATGTTTTTGTCTTAATTGTTTAATATGTAAGGAAACGTAAAATGGCCTGAATAATATGAACTTTGTTTTAATTGTGCACAACATCTGGTTTTAAGAGAGGTGCCTTATGTTTTCCAAGAAAAGCTGTTCTGTACACAGAATTAGTCCAATGTATCAATTTTTAAGTAAATTACCTTATTTTAGTACACAATCATTATGGGGTTTTTTTCTTCTTGATTGACATTTGCGTTGAATGTGATCAAACTGAATGAAGGAATTGCTGGACTGTCTCCCCCTTATTTCTTTAACTTACCATGTTTCTCAGTATTATTCCAGAATCAGTTACAAAACATAATATTTCAACAAGTACTTTTTGTGTATTCCTTGCCTTATTATTAGATCCTCCACATTTTAAAGATCAACAGAAGGGCTGGTGGTATCTAAATAATTCTGTTATATAACTGTCTCCCCCTTATTTCTTTAACTTACCATGTTTCTCAGTATTATTCCAGAATCAGTTACAAAACATAATATTTCAACAAGTACTTTTTGCACCTTCAAGAAGAGGCTTCATGCATACAAAATACAGCATGTCTGGCAGTGACGCACAGTGCGTCAGACTCAGACGTATCCTCCCATGCTTCTGTCACTCACCCAGTTCTCTTCACACCATGTCCTTGTGCTCTGTAATGAAGAGCAATAGTCCAGACAGTGTGTTGTCCCCAGGCTGCGCTTTTCGTAATGATCCATGCATCAATTCTAATGTAACTGTCTCCCCTTGCTGAAGTTCCAGCAGGGAGGCTCGGCTCACTGGTCCCATTTTCTCCCCTTGTTCCTGTCTGAGAGAGGCCACTGGAACTCCGCTGCGCTTTAATACAGCCAATGAAAGACCTCTCTCAAAGTCTAAGGTCACTAAAAAGAGATAGAATCCAGTCTCAGGGGCCTGGTACACCCCTGATGTAGGATTAAAAGTACCACCATAGTTCACAGCTACGTTTTTCGATGTGAGCTCCCCATTTGGTCCTCTTTTGTAGTCCAGGGTTGTGATGAACACCACGGGGGAATGTGGTAACCAAGCATGTTCTGAAGAGATAAAATTATTTTGATGATTTTTAGGTAAAAAAATGATCATTTTCAGTTAGAGGAAAAATGCTTTGTCATGATGTAGTTTTAGTGTTGTCCACTGAGGGGCAGTGTTGTATGTACACTATGCAGGTCTCTCAGTATCAAAAAACTTCATTCATGTTCAAAATTAATGGCAAATGAAATAAATGTAGTAAGATCTCTTACCTCTTTCACTGTATCTTTTGCTTCGCTCACTGGAAGACTTTTCTTCTTTTTTGATCTGGTCTTCTTGCTTTAGACTCCCCCTTCTTCTCTTTCCTTCTTTTTTTCTCACCAGTCTCCAAACTTCATCTAGATTCAGGTTTCTGGTCGAGCTGATCAGTTCTTCCGTATTACTGAACAGTTTTCGAAACATTCTCAAATGATCCACCAGGTTCTGACGTAGGGATGCTATATCTGCCTGCAGTTCTACAACAGAACCACCAGGTGGCGCAGTGCAGTTTCCACAGCGTTCTTCCAGCATGGCTATTCTACCTGCTAATTGCTCCACCTCTTTTCCCAGACTCCAGAAGTCACTGACTGAATAATCCACATCCTCCTCTCCAGTCGAAGTGTCTGGTAAAGAGGACTGGTAACTTTCAGGGCCCCTCACCTGGTTATTTGTACCAGTCCCCTCTAAGTATGCCACTGGGTCATCGCTATTCATTTCATCTCCATCAGGATGCTTTCTCCAAAGGGAGGCCAGAATCCTATCATGTGTCTCAATCTTTTGCTGCATCACATCCATTTTCTGTAAAAGATCTGGGATACTGAGGTCTTTCTTTTGGTTGTGTGACCAGCGTGTGAATTCCAGGACCTCCTCTCCGAGTAGCACTTCCAGGACTTCAGAGTGGCGTATGGCATCGTTCAGGAGGGAAGAGAAGGTGGCTGATAGGCCTTGAATTTCATTCGACTTGTCTTTGTCCCGCTGCCTCAGGCCTCGGATCTCCTGCTGGCTGTCAAGGAGTGAAGCCTGTAGCTGGGACATGCTGTCTTGAAGACTCCTGCTTCTGCCCTGCTCAAAGGCCAATGATTCCTTTATGTTCAGCAGGCCCTGATGAAGATCCTCCATTTCGGTGACCTGATTCCTTTCTAGATCTGTCTCCTCAAGTGCAAGTTGGTTCTGTTTGGCTAACTGTGTCACATTAGCCACCTCCAGCTCCAACCTAGCTAGTGAACTGCCAATCGACTTGCAGCTACAGGCCTGCTCTTCAACTGCTGAATAATTTTTTTGTAGTTGTTGATAGATGTTGTCCAGGTCAAGCTCAATTTCTCTCAACTGACCTTCGTGTGCACTTAGGTTAGCTGTAAGCTCACCAACGCTGTTGAGCACCCTGACACGAGTAGCCTCCACCTCCAGACCAGTCTCTGCAAAGTGGACCTCAGTTCGTTGTTTGACCTCCTCTAGGCTCTGTTCCAGGTCCAGTAGGTCTCTTTGCAAAGCCCGGACCGCTCCATTAGAGTCCTTAGAAGTCTCAGACAAGCTGCTGAGCTTCGCAGAGTTACTTTGTGCCTTCTCATCTAGTCGAGTGATGGCCTCCCACACTCCTGACTCCTGTGTTGGCTGGCCTCCGCTCGGATTGACAAACTCGGCACGTTCTCTCTGCAGTGCCCCTTCCAGCTTCTTCTGGCCAAGTCTCACCTCCTCAACCAATTCAGTTAGAGACTGGAGATTCACCTGTTGGTATAACACAAAATATATTATATATTAATTTATGCACTTTTTTATGTGTTAGTTTTTTTGAGTAATCATTTCAAGTAGTCCTAGTGAATTAATGACCTGTGCATCCTGACTTTGACTGATCTGATCATCCATTTCTTCCTTCAGTTTTGTTAGGTTGTGTTTCAGCAGTTCTTGCTGGACCTGAAAGGCCCTCTCAAACTGGTCTTTCTGTGCGTCCAATTGGGTTTTCATTTGACTGATCTGGAGATGGCTGTACTCTAGTCTTTGCTCGATAGGTCCGCTATGATCTTCGCCTCTGGTCATGGGCCTGTGTTCTTCCTGTTCCATCCGCAACTGCTGCAAGTCCTGAGACAATGCTTCCACCTCACTGGACAGATGTGTCAGAGTTTGATTGAAGCTTTCCAGCACTGGTTGAAGCTGACTCATCATAGTTGACATTAACTGATGCATCGACAGCAGAATGGATGAATCAAGGAATGGCAAAGGCTGAGAGGTAGGGATCCCTTCTCTGGCACCTGGAATATTGATAACAAGCCACTTTAATGTAAAGACTTACAATTTTTATACTTTTCAGATGTTAATTAGTGAAAACTACGGTGGACCAGTAGTGCACAACGCAACGAAATCTCCACAACACAACGAAATCTCTACAACACAACGAAATCTCTACAACACAACAGAAACAAGCCGCAACATAACAAAATTAGCACAACACATCGGAAACAAGCCGCAACACAACGGAAGCAAGTCGCAACACAACGGAAACAAGCCACAACACAGCAAAATTAGCACAACACAACGAAATTAGCACAACACAAGGCAAGCAAGCCGCAACGCAATGGAAACAAGTTTCAACACAACAAAAACAAGCCACAATACAATGGAAACAAGCCAAAACACAACAAAATTAGCACAATGCAACGAAAACAAGCCACAACACAGCGAAATTAGCACAACACAATGGAATCAAAACGCTTAACACAGCAAAATTAGCACAATGCAACAAAAACAAGCCACAACACAACGAAACTAGCACAACACAACGGAAACAAGCCACAACACAGCAAAATTAGCACAACACAATGGAAACAAGACGCTTAACACAACAAAATTAGCACAATACAACAAAAACAAGCCACACAACACAACGAAACTAGCACAACACAACGGAAACAAGCCACAACGCAATGAAATTAGTCCTATGCATTGTGTTGTGGAGATTTTATTTTGTCACGCACTACTGGTCCACCGTAGAAAACAGTGGATATATCAGCATATTGATTCCTCACACAGCTACAGAAATAGCTTTAAATCGCTGAGCTCATGCAGACAGTCTCCCTGCCAGAACCCTAGTCTCTAGAGGATATGACTGTGCCTGACGGGCCCTGCATGAGCTTTTATGGTGTTTTCATCAGGAATTACCCTTTCCTTACAGGCCTCCTAAACAAACACATCTCACTATGTCACTGAATATCTGACTTTCTACAGCTAATGCATTTTTGATGGATGTTCCTTTATAGACTGTATTTGCATTTAAACGGAATGAGCTCAGTGGTTATAGATAACATTTTCTTTGAATGAGGCTAGACTCCAGGAGAAGCTATAAACCTCTTTTTAATCATCTATTCTATGACTCATCTTGAGCATGTGGTTCACTGATGACTTTTTGCCCTGTGTCCTTCCGTCTGTGGGTGATTACATCATGGTGGAGTTTGTTTATAAGAAAGAGAGGATATCCTCCAGAAGATGTCATTGTTTAAGTAGTCAAGCCATTCACATTTGAATAGTGAAATCTCACATGCCTACTGTAATGTGTCAGTCTAAATGTTCTTCCTGCATGCTGATTTTGCAGCTTACCAACAGTACTCTGGTTTGGTGAATAACCATGATTAGGAGCCTCCTGCATGGGTTTGTCAGCCCATTTTGCATCGTCCAATTGGCCAGTCCCCATTTTACCTCCTAAAGAAGAACAAACACATTTTGTTTGGAGAGAGAATGTGGGAAGGAAGTTAACCAGAACATTTTGAGTTTGAGGGTAAATATTGGGCCCACGTATATGCCTAGTTGAGGGGTTATTTTAGACCTTAAAGATTTTCCAACATCTAATCTAGAAGATTACAGTGCTTAAAATGCTTCACAAATGTTATATTTAATGACCCAATATATTATGAAACCAAATATTATTTTTTACTAAGAATGTTTTTTTATGATATGAGGCTTAAAATATTTGGCACAGGAGACTGTTGTAAACAAACACATCGACATCAAAGTTTAAGTAAAATATTACATTGACTAATGTGATTTAAACTGCAAGAGTGATGAATGGATTATAGGATACCTTTTAAAAAGACACACAGACCTATTCTACACAGGAAACAAAGGCATGAGAGCACAAAGGATGGCTTCTAGGAAAATGTCCTGCCATCAAAAAATTCACCTGCCAGATATTTTGGATATGTGGAAAACATGACTTTAAGTTGTTGTTATTCTTAAACATGATTGTTGCTTTTGCGTGCTGGCATAGGGCACTGTTTCTCCAGCTATCCAGTGCCAGCTGACTCTCCGTTTCCTGTTGAAGGACACTCACTGAGCCAAAGGCCTGCTGGATATTTCCTCTGTTTGTCAGAGAGGTTGTTTTCAAAAAAAGCAACCTTGCAGAAAAAGGAAAGGTATGAAAGGTTAAAGGTAAAGCCAGCCTTGCCCAAAACAACAGACTTGCCTGAGCTGCCATTGTCATTACTATCAGACTTTAAAGCATGCGTCTCATCCTCTGGAGGTCTGTCTGGAAAAGATAGATAAAGAGGAAGCAACAGATGAGTCACCAAAACTGCATGGACTACTCAACTGATGTTTTCCTTTGAAAGTAGCCAAAGACCAACACGCATATTCCTAACATATTGTATGTGTACATCTGTGTAAAATGACATTGAAATTGAACGTATTTGCATGCAATGTTACCTTTTTCCAAGCAGTTGTGTCCTCCATATCCTGGGCAACACATCCAGTGCATAGAAGAGAGTGCTATCTGCTTCTGCTTGTATACAGGCGGTGAGGACTGCCTATACCTAATGATCACCATCATCAACATCCAGAAAGCAAAGCATAGTAGAAACGTATGATCTGAGGTTTATGTGACTCACATGATGAGTTGACAGTCAGGAGCTCCATCAGAACAGGGGTTCACAGATTTCACAGTCTGAGTCTTCGTAGCGCAGAGTACAGCTGTGGTGACCATACGGTGATTTACATACGCACACCAGTTTCTGGCAGGAGACAGAAGGTTTGGGAAGATAAAACATAGAATAAAAGAAGAAAGACGAGGGAAAAGTGAAAGTTGAGAGCAAAGATTACAAGCGATCACAGTCTGATGAAGATATATGCTCTTGAACCCCTGTTTCTTCCTGTTGTACCCTTTCCAACTTGCTCAGGGCTAGATATAATCGCTGAGCAAACGGTTTTATATGCCGTTCCACTGGCAAGTTCATTATGTTTGTTTTTAGCTTTCTGTTGTATCAGAGAGAATCTGATGAGCCCACATTGATTACGATGTCTACACATCCTCAATCTTATTTTGGCAAGTCTGTGCTTTTCTGTGGTGTGGTATTTCGTAAACATACAGTAAAGTATATTTTGTGAAAAATGACCCAGTTAGAGAAGTTGTCACACACTAAAAGGTGTGTTTGGTGGCAACTCTTCTCAATTGCTCAAAAGTTGTGTAATAGCATTTTAGTGGCCTCATTTCCCAACAGTGATTAACACTATAATTGCTGATAATGTATAAACCGTGTTGAATGAGCACAGAGTGCTGTTCTCATTTTGAACATTATAAGAGCTGACAGAAAAGTATATAAACAGGATTTTCCATGTCAGTTCTCTTTCTTTCTGCTGCCTGTGTTGTTCATGCACAGTTTATTCCCCTCAAATGACTTGGATGCTTTTCTTAGAGGCTGTTCAACTAGCACAACACAACGGAAACAAGCCACAACACAGCAAAATTAGCACAACACAATGGAAGGAAGTTGCAACGCAATGGAAACAAGTCGCAACACAACAGAAACAAGCCACAACACAGCAAAATTAGCACAACACAATGGAAGGAAGTTGCAACGCAATGGAAACAAGTCGCAACACAACAGAAACAAGCCACAACACAGCAAAATTAGCACAACACAATGGAAACAAGACGCTTAACACAACAAAATTAGCACAATACAACAAAAACAAGCCACACAACACAACGAAACTAGCACAACACAACGGAAACAAGCCACAACGCAATGAAATTAGTCCTATGCATTGTGTTGTGGAGATTTTATTTTGTCACGCACTACTGGTCCACTGTAGAAAACAGTGGATATATCAGCATATTGATTCCTCACACAGCTACAGAAATAGCTTTAAATCGCTGAGCTCATGCAGACAGTCTCCCTGCCAGAACCCTAGTCTCTAGAGGATATGACTGTGCCTGACGGGCCCTGCATGAGCTTTTATGGTGTTTTCATCAGGAATTACCCTTTCCTTACAGGCCTCCTAAACAAACACATCTCACTATGTCACTGAATATCTGACTTTCTACAGCTAATGCATTTTTGATGGATGTTCCTTTATAGACTGTATTTGCATTTAAACGGAATGAGCTCAGTGGTTATAGATAACATTTTCTTTGAATGAGGCTAGACTCCAGGAGAAGCTATAAACCTCTTTTTAATCATCTATTCTATGACTCATCTTGAGCATGTGGTTCACTGATGACTTTTTGCCCTGTGTCCTTCCGTCTGTGGGTGATTACATCATGGTGGAGTTTGTTTATAAGAAAGAGAGGATATCCTCCAGAAGATGTCATTGTTTAAGTAGTCAAGCCATTCACATTTGAATAGTGAAATCTCACATGCCTACTGTAATGTGTCAGTCTAAATGTTCTTCCTGCATGCTGATTTTGCAGCTTACCAACAGTACTCTGGTTTGGTGAATAACCATGATTAGGAGCCTCCTGCATGGGTTTGTCAGCCCATTTTGCATCGTCCAATTGGCCAGTCCCCATTTTACCTCCTAAAGAAGAACAAACACATTTTGTTTGGAGAGAGAATGTGGGAAGGAAGTTAACCAGAACATTTTGAGTTTGAGGGTAAATATTGGGCCCACGTATATGCCTAGTTGAGGGGTTATTTTAGACCTTAAAGATTTTCCAACATCTAATCTAGAAGATTACAGTGCTTAAAATGCTTCACAAATGTTATATTTAATGACCCAATATATTATGAACCAAATATTATTTTTTTCTTAAGAATGTTTTTTTATGATATGAGGCTTAAAATATTTGGCACAGGAGACTGTTGTAAACAAACACATCGACATCAAAGTTTAAGTAAAATATTACATTGACTAATGTGATTTAAACTGCAAGAGTGATGAATGGATTATAGGATACCTTTTAAAAAGACACACAGACCTATTCTACACAGGAAACAAAGGCATGAGAGCACAAAGGATGGCTTCTAGGAAAATGTCCTGCCATCAAAAAATTCACCTGCCAGATATTTTGGATATGTGGAAAACATGACTTTAAGTTGTTGTTATTCTTAAACATGATTGTTGCTTTTGCGTGCTGGCATAGGGCACTGTTTCTCCAGCTATCCAGTGCCAGCTGACTCTCCGTTTCCTGTTGAAGGACACTCACTGAGCCAAAGGCCTGCTGGATATTTCCTCTGTTTGTCAGAGAGGTTGTTTTCAAAAAAAGCAACCTTGCAGAAAAAGGAAAGGTATGAAAGGTTAAAGGTAAAGCCAGCCTTGCCCAAAACAACAGACTTGCCTGAGCTGCCATTGTCATTACTATCAGACTTTAAAGCATGCGTCTCATCCTCTGGAGGTCTGTCTGGAAAAGATAGATAAAGAGGAAGCAACAGATGAGTCACCAAAACTGCATGGACTACTCAACTGATGTTTTCCTTTGAAAGTAGCCAAAGACCAACACGCATATTCCTAACATATTGTATGTGTACATCTGTGTAAAATGACATTGAAATTGAACGTATTTGCATGCAATGTTACCTTTTTCCAAGCAGTTGTGTCCTCCATATCCTGGGCAACACATCCAGTGCATAGAAGAGAGTGCTATCTGCTTCTGCTTGTATACAGGCGGTGAGGACTGCCTATACCTAATGATCACCATCATCAACATCCAGAAAGCAAAGCATAGTAGAAACGTATGATCTGAGGTTTATGTGACTCACATGATGAGTTGACAGTCAGGAGCTCCATCAGAACAGGGGTTCACAGATTTCACAGTCTGAGTCTTCGTAGCGCAGAGTACAGCTGTGGTGACCATACGGTGATTTACATACGCACACCAGTTTCTGGCAGGAGACAGAAGGTTTGGGAAGATAAAACATAGAATAAAAGAAGAAAGACGAGGGAAAAGTGAAAGTTGAGAGCAAAGATTACAAGCGATCACAGTCTGATGAAGATATATGCTCTTGAACCCCTGTTTCTTCCTGTTGTACCCTTTCCAACTTGCTCAGGGCTAGATATAATCGCTGAGCAAACGGTTTTATATGCCGTTCCACTGGCAAGTTCATTATGTTTGTTTTTAGCTTTCTGTTGTATCAGAGAGAATCTGATGAGCCCACATTGATTACGATGTCTACACATCCTCAATCTTATTTTGGCAAGTCTGTGCTTTTCTGTGGTGTGGTATTTCGTAAACATACAGTAAAGTATATTTTGTGAAAAATGACCCAGTTAGAGAAGTTGTCACACACTAAAAGGTGTGTTTGGTGGCAACTCTTCTCAATTGCTCAAAAGTTGTGTAATAGCATTTTAGTGGCCTCATTTCCCAACAGTGATGACCGCTATAATTGCTGATTATGTATAAACCGTGGGCTGTTCTCATAAGAGCTGACTGAAAAATACATAAACGGGATTTTCCATGTCCGTTCCCTTTCTTTCTTTCTGCTGCATGTCTGTGTTTTCATGCACAGTTTATTCCTCTCAAATGACTTGGATGCTTTTCTTAGAGGCTGTTCTCATGGCATGGGTTTCTGCATATGCATCCATGTTCCAAGTTTTTATTGTGTTTCTATGGGACATATGATGCATTTTTGAACTCTGTGACGTTTCAGCATTCCGTGTCAAAGGATCAGCGTTTTGAGATGGCTTGTAAAAACACTTGAACTTTGAAAACATGTTTCTATTCTTTTCTAGCTCTTTTCAAATGCAAGAACACGTCCTGTATGAACGACCCCTTACTCATGCTTTTTCTACTGACCTTCCTTTGTGCATCCGCTGCAGAAACAAAGAGATTAGATAGCGGTGGGCTGTCCTGTTTCCTCTTGTTGCCACCTTGAACCATATAGTCCCTTTGTCCAGTAAAACATCAGCCCCTATTCAGACACTGATTCGGTCATAGTTTGGCTGAATGCTCTCCTGTCTGCCGCTTTATGGCTTTATCATTAATCTGTCTCCATGTACCCACATCTGAACATTCTTCATCAGTCTACCTTTCTTTCATTTTTACCCCTCTTTTATCTCTTTTATTTTCCTTTAAACACCTAAACACTTTTGATTAGCACTCCTCCTATGTCTTTTCTGGACACAGCTGTTGCTCATATTCTTTTGTTCTGGTCCAGACTAAAAGGTAAATGCCCTTGAAAACTGCTGTAGGGGTACCTTTCCTCTGCCTCACTTTTATGCTGTACTGAGCATGCTCAGTCCGGTCTAATTCCTCTCTCATTGAATCTCATCCTCAAGAAATCAGCATAGAGCTCCCAAAGAGAGTTAATGTGCGTGTTACCAATACTAAAATATCAGCTATCACATTTGAGAGAAGTGGACAGCTAAACATTTGCATGAATATATTGGATTTCACACTGAGTTGGAACTCAGTCACTCTATAATACTTTCCCACCAATTGTTTCAGATTAGATCACTGAAGCTCTAACTTGTATTTTCATTGTAAGATTACTGTAATCAAGCCTCCCGGGCAACTTCATTTCAGAACAAAAGGAGAATACAATGGACTTTAGCCAATGTTAACGGCATATTTAATATTGAAACTAATGAAAACAAGACTGTGTGGGATACATGTACAGTCTGTTCAGTGGGTTGTACTGTTGTATACTGTAGTGTTGGTTGTTTAACCAAATAAATAAATGAATAAAATTCCAGAGCACATATAAAACCAGTCACACATGATTAAACATTTGAAAAAGTTTAATCTTAAATGCTTTAAAAATTAATTGTGTAGACAAAACAGAAGAAATCTATATATGAATTACAAATACAATTTGAATTACCTTAAAAAATACATTTTATAATTCAGAATTTATTACAAAAATTACTATTATTTTTTATACTATATGATTTTAATAACATGTTTTAAATGTATTTATTTATATATTTAATTAGTTAGTTAGTTAGTTATTTTTTATTATTTTATTTTTCATGAATAGGTTGGGCCAGACAGAGAAAGAAAAGCAGCTAACAAGTGGAAAAGCATCCCAGGATGCACCTCATTAAGCAGAAAAAAAATTATTACATTTGTGATCTCAAGTAGACGCTCGGCTACTTTGATTTGGAAAAAATTTAAATATTAAATTGTGATTTATTACATTTTGATTTATAACCGCTTTTGTTAACTATCATTTCTATTTTAATTTGAGTTCAAGTTGTTTCATAGTTTTGACTTTAGTATTATTCTACAATGTGGCAAGTAATAATAATAATAATAATAAAATTGGTGTTCCAGATGTCTGACTAGTAGTGTAAAAGAAGAAAACAAGGGTTATGAAAATTAGAGGTGAAGGTCAAACAAGACAAATATATTAACAAATTTACAAATACAACAAATATATTCTTCACACCTTTTTTATCACTCATGTCAAATTAAATATTCTCACCTGAGTCACACAAAATTGTATATACAGTTATAGATACATATGGTTTGAAATATGTCAATTTGACTCACCCTCTCTGTGCAGATGGATGTACAGTCTCTCTTGAGGGGGGTGCTGAGTTTTGAGGTTTGCCCTCTGAAGGCTTCGGGATGCCGTGATGTTCATGTGGCAAGGGTAGGTGAGCTGTCCCAAAGGTGCCAGAAATTTGCTGTGCCCTTCCTCTAGTCCCCACAGTCTCTTCTTCCTCCACGTCAGGGTCCCTGGCCCTCACCTCACTGTGGCAGCTCAGAGAGTTCAGCACGGCCAACAGCAACAGAGGCAGAGTTTGGGTCATCTTGCTTTCCAGAGGTACTGAAAGTTTTCCTCCGGATGGCAGTTTTTAAAACTAGCCTTAAACAATCCTGGAAACTCCCCACCCCTCTCTCCTTCTCTCTCGCTCTCTCTCTCTCTCTCTCTCTCTCTGTCCAAACCAGCCGGTATCCTCACCAGCATGCCTCTCTCCCCACCCTCTCAGTTCCCACTCCCCCTCACTCTCCCTGGACAGTATCAACACCCTCCAACAATCGGAGGAAATCTGCTGCTTGTTAACAACCTTAAATCCATGTATTGCGCTACTTGCAAAGTTACAGCTCCCTTTCACACTCAAGCTCACACATTGCAGTGTCATGCATGATGCTTGTTTACAAGAAAATAGATTTTTTGTTTTATACTCAAGTTTGGAGTTTCATGTTTATACCTTTATGTATTCAAATCCTTGACCTGGTCATTGTTAGCACCATGCTCTACCAGTCAATGTTAATTCCTTTTACTTATTTAGTCTTTGGTTTATACACTAAACAATAAATGTACAATAAGGTTCAATTCATTAAAATCAGTTACTGCTTTAGGTGTAATGAACTAACAGTGAACAAAAAGATCTAGATTGTTTTTGTTAGTTCACAATATTAAAATGAACTAATAATCAACTAAAATTTTCACCCATTGAACTTCATTGTAAAGCACTACTTAAGGCTGTCATGCGTTGGTGAGACAAAGGCCCGTTCACACAAAGAATAATAATTATAAAGATAACTATATTAGCGTCCACACCAATGCATGATAACATTCTGTTTATTATAAGTATTGACTGCAATTGTCATCTGGCACTTTAAATACTCCAGCTCTTTAAAGCATGACGGATTCTGATTGCTGTCAATGTTTTTATCGTTCATCAGCTGGAAAAAAATCACTGCAATTCCAACAATGTTGTATTCCTCTGTGCTGTCATTGTTACAGTGATGCTCGTTTTTTAAACCATTTTTTACATTTCTAACCATTTTTAAAATGATATCTTTATTGTTATGGCGTAAACAGGCATTACGTTCTTCAAAATCAAGGTTTTCACAGTGACGCCATGAAAGAATCATTTGGGTTTGCGAAAGAACCTTTCAGTGAACAGTTCTTAAAAGAACCATTATTTTCCTAGTGTAAAGAACGTTTTAATCATCTAAGAACTTTTTTCCAATGTAATAAACCTTTTGTGCAATGGAAAGATTCCAGGGATATTATATACTATATTTGCATGGATCCATAGATGGCTATAAAGAAACTTTATTTTTAAGAGTGTACATTTCATATTTTTTGGCGCAAAAATTGTGTTTGCAGAAGAAAGAAAAAAAAAAATGAAATGGATGTCAGCACAGCTATATATATGCTATGGTTCCAGTCCAGAGATTGTCTGCAGTGATAAATGACTAGAGTTTTTATAACACACAAGAGCCCTTGTTCTTAGCGCTGACCCCATTCCGTAAACCATGCCTCCCAAACTCCATTTTCGGAGCAGACTTCAGCTGCTCTTTCTCAGCCTGGAGTGAAAACATCCCACCTACCAAGAGGTCACACTAGAATTAGACTGATTGAGGTGGGGGTTTACACAGAGAGAATGAGTTACTGTCAAACTAAGAAGGCATTTTCTCTGTGGTGTGGTGGTCCTCTCTGGCTTCATGTCTGCGCTTGACTGCCTCAACAGTGCGCAGCTCAGCTGTGACAACAAACATGGGGTCTCCTGGGCCGGTCACTCCAAGCCCAGCAACCAGCGCTCGGCCTGTGCTTCACAACGTGGCTTCCTGCACTCTGACCACAGACTTCCTGTCTGTTCAAATCTGTTAGGCTGACTCAACCTTGACCAGAAAAGAGGCTGTTTGCTTACTTAAGAGTAGGGGGATGATATTATCTACTCTTATTATCTAATAATTTTTTGGGATGTCGAGATAAGAGGGGCTTTTAGTGTAGGACATTTAAATTTCGAAAATAAGTAGTGTAAAACTAACCTTCAAAAGCTTTGACATATGTGACCCTGGAGCACAAAAGCAGTCTTAAGTCGCTGGGGTATATTTGTAGCAATAGCCAACAATACATTGTATGGGTCAAAATTATCCATTTTTCTTTTATGTCAAAAATCATTAGGATATTAAGTAAAGATCATGTTCCCTGAAGATATGTTGTAAATTTTCTACCGTAAATATATCAAAACTTAATTTTTGATTAGTAATATGCATTGCTAGAACTTCAGCTTTAAATGTGATTTTCTCAGTATTTTGATTTGGTTTTTTTGCACCCTTAGATTCCAGATATTCAAATAGTTGTATCTCAGCCAAAAATTGTCCTATCCTAACAAACCATACATCAATGGAAAGCTTATTTATTCGCTTTTAGCTTTGAGATGCATACATATAAAAAAATGTACCCTTATGACTGGTTTTGTGGTCCAGGGTCACATATGCGAGGAAACATTTAGCTGAAAACTACTTGTCTTTAACAAATAAGTGTCAAATGGCTGAGCAACAGTAGCTTGGTATTGATGTTTGTTTTTGTTTTTTTGTTTTTTTTTGTACTTACTTTTACTAAAGAGTAGATTCACATGGAATCTACACAGGCAGAGATTTACAGAATTAAAGGGTTAGTTCGCCCAAAAATGAAAATGTTGTCATTAATTACTCACCCTCATGCTGTTCCAAACCCATTAGACCTTTGTGCATCTTTGGAACACAAATTAAGATATTAAATGTAATAAAGACATTGTTAAAATAGTCCATGCGACATCAGTGGTTCAACCGTTATGTTATGAACCTACGAGAATACTTTTTGTGCGCAAAGAAAACAAAAATAACTTTATTCAACCATTTCTTCTCTTCCGTGTCAGTCTTTGATGCACGTTTACGACAGTACCTCAATGCATTATGCACCTTATTTTTGTTTTCTTCGTGGACAAAAAGTATTCTCATAGCTTCATAAAATTACGGTTGAACCACAGATGTCACATGGACTACTTTAACAATGTCCTTGCTACAAATTAAGCACAATATCAACCTAAATTTTTTCAGACTCTGTCCTTTCATTTGCTTTAGTTGTAAGTGTGATCAGTGCCTGATGTCAAATTAATCCCAATGGGAAATCCCAGCATGAAGAAAACCAGTGTATGTTTACCATAAAAACATGTTCTGACTGGCATGTGTTTGCTTGCAGTAGAGGAACAGAGAACATCTGGTGTATTCACCTGCAAAGCACTGGCAGGAAGGTGAGATGCATTCGGATGTATTTCTGTGTGATATTTTTGCACCGTGTTACTCTGTTGAATCTGATCCTTTGAGCTCTTCTGACAGCACGATATCAGCTTATTCTCAGCTCTCTGTTATGTCATGCTGGCAGAAGAACTGTTTACATATAGACTACACAGCAGTCTACGGCCTGATAAATGCTTCTGTTCTCTGCATGTTTGTTATGTTAAATACTGACGATCATTTCCCAGCTGGTGAGATAGCAACACCACTTTCAATCTGAATCCTTGCTTACCTCCTTCTTTACTATGTGCTTTTCCGATCAGTTATAGTCTTGTTTTTGTCATTTTTGCACTCAAAGAGTGAATTAATACTTTATTAATGATGATATTCATAGTCATGAATTCATATATGTGTTGCATGTCATTCCACATCAGACTGGTAACTGCTGTAGAATGTCATGCTTGGGCCAGAGTATGTCATTCATTCATAGCCTGTAAACTCTTTAATCCCGCATGGAAACAGCTGACCATGTGACGTACAGTGGAGTGGGAGAGCGGCCCTGTCTGATCCCATCAGAGATTACTGCTCTCAGGCCTCAGCGCTCCTTCACAGCTTCTATTTCCTGTGTCAGCCATCATCCTGTGATCCTTAACCAATCCACAGCCACCAGGTGGGTTGGTATTTGTTATCCTCACCCAATCAGATTGCATCACACCACAGAATTCTTGCTGAGTTGTGATTTTCAGCTGACAATTCAAAATATTTTTAGCATGGAAAGTAAGGAATGATTCAGCTGTTTTTGTTAGATTTTTTTTTTTTTTTTTTTACATTCCGATTTGCAGGTCTGCAGCAAATATAATACACCCCCAAAACTTTGATATTAACTCTATATATGTCAACAACAACATTCTATCCTCATAATAAAGCTAAATATTAGGTCCATTATATTCAATTAACATGCTATATATCTATATAATTTAATATATCCTCTTAATTAAAAAAAAATTAAACGTGTGTGTGAATGTGTGTGTGTGTGAGTGTGTTTGTTTGTATAATAAAATATTAAAATACAAATGTATATCACATTGTATTACCATTTATATTAAAATATTATGTTTAAATAAAAATGTTTTCATAAAAAATAAATGTATGAACACATATATTTATGTATGTATAATAAAATATTAAAATACAAATGTATAACACATTGTATTAACATACAGTATACTTTATATTAAAATGCATATTATTTCAATATTTTACTATTACGTGTGTGTGTGTGTGTGTGTGTAATACATTATATGAATTTATGTAATAAAAATGGTAAAATACTAATTTATATAATTAATTTACTATTTACATTATATTAATATTATGGCCTCGTAATAAAGGTAAATGTATGCTATATTGTATTAACATGCTATACATTTAATGTACATAATATATTTAATAGTGTGTGTATAAAATTAATACAAATACAAATATATTTCATTAGATACAAATTAAATACAGATATATTGCATATATATATATATATATATATATATATATATATTACAATTATATACATTACACATATAATATTATATACATATTACACAAATATATTTTTACTGTTGTTATGGTAATTTCCTTCGTTTACTGTGGTAATAGTAAAGTGTATATTTTCATGGGACTGATAAGAATGTTTGTACAAATAAATTATTCAAATGAATTCCCAAAAATAAAGGAATAAACAACCAGGCTTTGAGGGAGGACGCATGTCCCCAAGGTGCAAGAGGATGGCAATAATTGTAAGAAGCATCTGGTTTTAATGCACTGCTGGCTAGAGCGTAATAAATATGTAATCAGTCTGTTCGACATTGCTGTGAGAGGCAATGCGTGTCTGCTGTGTGTGTGTGCACACAGGGTAAAATAATGCAGCATTGACAGTGGTAATAATAGCTGTGTTCTATAAAGGTCTCTGCAATTATTCCCAATAGATCTAATGCAGATGTGATGGATGTGTCTGCATTCCATTAGCGTGTGTGTGTGTGGAGGAGAGGAGGGTCTCAGTGAGGTTGTGCTCTAGTCTGCTGAGGAGTTGTGAGAGTGTAGATGGAAGCAGCTGTGAATGTGAGATACACGACTGATAAAAAAAAAAAATGCTGCAAAAATGGTGCAGGGAATGAAACCTGGGGTGTGGTGAAAGAGAGAGTTATGGGACTGCAGACCTGAACAGGAAATAGTAAAAGCTCATATAAAACAATAAGATGAGTGTGCACTAATATTTCAGATGAATTTCATAATTAAATAAATTTTAAAAAAAAATTCACACAATACACTATGATGCACTGTCTTATGCAATATTGCACAATTTAATTCAATAAAGTCCAACATGCTCACACTATTAACAATGTAACAACTGGCAATTTGTAACAAAAATTTGTGCAGTTAATAATTAATTATTAATGCATAAAAATTTATTGTGCACTACTTTTAGGCAAAGATGTGCTTTTTTACTCTTTTTGACATTTATTTCCTGCATGCATTTATGTGCATGTGAATAAGTTATTTACCTGTTATGTACCTGTCCAGTACAATATAATAATTCCAACTTCATCAACTAACAGTCTGCACACTATTCCGTCCTGTACGCACTATAAAGTGTTGTTTATGTGCATGTGAACGAGAGAGAAAGTAAGCGGGGCATATAGAGCGGATCAGCTGAGCACTGCAGCATTTACTCCCTCCCTCTCTGCGCTCCCCATCTTCCATGCGTGTGTGCCGATGCAGCAGGATTTGCCTGGTTGTGAGTGGACTGTGATGACTAACCCTCACCATCCCCCTACGCCACCATAGAAAGAGAGAGAGATGGGAAATGATGTGCAGTGCTCAAGTGTTATGTCATAGGCTTGCAGCCCCATAGCGTCTGCTTATGCTCATCAGCACAGAAATGAACAGATGGCGTAGCGAATCATGACTGAAAATACAAACTACAAACAATTCAACACGATACCATGACTATGTAGTATTCATTCAGTGCATTCCCACCTGGATAGACACACCATAGTGTGTTCCAGAAAACACTTGAAACTTTCTCTCCTTGATGTCGTTTTCATCACCTATAACCTGACAGTGGTAATCTCACCTAATCCAATCAGATCAACATTCAACCCAGCATGCATTTGGGTGTAATGTAATCTTTATAAGCACTTTTCCACCAAGGTCACCTGTGCTGAGGTCACAGGCCTGCAAATCTAGTGCATGTATTGTCAGGGTGCTTCAGAGTGCTTATATGGCATTATGTGAACTAGAGCGTGAAGTCGTTACTCAGGTTGATTGTTACGAAGGCAGGTTACTTATTCCCCGTTTGAGAGTGTCAAAGCTACTGCATTTGATACTGTGAATGGCCTTTTATCCAGAACTGTGTGTTCTGAAAATGCATTGTCGTCATCATCGCCGTATGACGCAGTGGAGATCTCCTCAACTGAAAGTGATGGTGCAAACGCTTTATCTAACAAGCCGCTCAGATTCATCCAGCAAACTGGTAAAGAAATATAAAGAGATCTCCTTTAAGGCACATACAGACAGAACGCAGGAGAGCAGATGTGCTCAGCCATGCAGAAACTACTCAAAAACTGAGCTTTCGCATATAAAAAACATGGAGAAAGAGAGTGAGAAAGAAGAGAAGTCTAAGAATAGAAATGGAAAGACTAATGTATACGCATAAATGAAAGACGTAGAGTAATACGGAAGCAGTTTGCATCTAAATATTACACGATCTATGTGATGAATTTTTAAATGCTTGATGACAGCGAGGCTCGTGTGTGTGTGATAGAATGATATTGATGTAGCTAAGACTGATAGACAAACTCTTTGAAGCATAGTGTCATTGCCTATCTTATCTGCTTTGAAGTGGTGCTGAATTTCTTTTTATTTGCATAGATCTGTATAGTCCTCTATCATCTGTGAATAGAGAAGTAAGCAGGTTTAGATGATGAGATTAGACTGCTAACTCCTGACATTTTAGTCACTGAGACACAGAAAAACAGGCTAAATGTGATAATTGCTGTTTATTCAGTAATTAGAATTTTGTATACACTACCGTTTGGGGTCAGCATTTTTTTTTATTTTTTTTTTTTTTATTGTTATTCAAACAATACTTTTAAATTGTTTAAAAAACTGACAGTAAAGGCACTTTATAAATAGTTAAAAAAAAAAAAATCTAACATTTATAATAATACAAAATGTTTCTTGAGCACAAAAACAGCATATAGAATGATTTCTGAAGGATTGTGAGACACTGGAGTAATGGCTACTGAATTTAGCTTTGCCGTAACAGGAATACATTTTAAATTGTAATAATATTGTAATATTATAATATAACTGTCTCAATGTTGAAAATCCGTTGTGTGCATATTGTTAATATTTTTTCTGTTTCACATATTTTGTATTCTGTACTCGCTTATCATTAAAAATATGTTCAGAGTGACACTTATCTACTCTATAAACTATAGACTATCAACAATAAACTATCCAGCGTTCTTAAAAAATGCTGTTCTGTCTATTGTTATGATCATATCAATGTAAAATTTACATAGCCTATTTCACATTGACCCTTGAATAGCCATATGCCTTTGCCTCTATTTATATGGAACTTCATTCGGTGTTTTTCTACCAATCCGCAATTTCTGAAGAATATTTCATGTTTATTTCTCATATTTCAGGTAACAAGACAAAAGAGGGAGTGGTGTCAGGCGTAAACACAGGTGAGAAATACATATGCGTGCATCTTTAGAGAAGTGAAACTGAGAATTAAGAAGTCATTTACATTCACTCTTTATCATTTTGACACTCACAGTTGCCCAGAGGACCACAGACCAGGCGAATATTGTCGGTGAAACAGCGGTAGGCAGCACTAATGAAGTTGGACAGAAGACAGTAGAGGGGCTGGAGAATGTGGCTGCATCAACCGGCCTGGTCAACCCGGTGAGATCTCCACTAGCACTAGATGTCGCCCTTTCTCCAAAATCAAATTCAATTCACATCACTTAAATACCATATTTAATCTTTCTTGTGTGTTGCATTTTAAAACACCTTTAAATGACTTAAGACTAGCCTAAGGGATCTGTGTCTAATCTGAGATAACCACAAGCTCGACATTTATTTGATTATACACAGCAGAAGAGCTGTGTATTTACGGTTGAAATACTGGTATTTTGTGTCTAACATATTCTGTTTGTTTTTCCCTGTTTACAATTGTGCTGTTAACAGGATGAGGCTTTATATGAGGTGCTTGTTAAATGGGGTTGGGAATGGTTGATTTGGTTTGTAAAGAGAAATGCTAGTATATAGTGATCTTCGGCTCCGCCCTGGCTATGTACTCCATACATATACACATATACATATACTGTATACTCCATGCTGCATATGAGACTGAGCTTTAACTTTAACTGACTGCTGTATCACACCACACAGATGGGGAGAATGTGCACAACCATCTATATAACAGCAGAGTTCAGTTCAATCCCCTCTGGAGTCATTCTCTTCATTGTGCATAATGAGAAAGAATGGCTGCATTGATTACCTCATTGATTACCCGAATTTCCATCAGTTCCCATCAAGTTAATGAGCTAATATTGTTAGTGTTTAGTAATTTGCTGGGATAAAAACTCTGCTTTCCCACAGAATTGGGAAGGCAGCAGATCAGTGATATTTTAGTGTTAATATTAATGAATATTTTAATTAACTTTCATTTTTATATTTTGTTTTAGTTTATATTTTAGTATTTAAAAAAATATTTCTGTTCAGATTTAATTTAATTTTCATTTTAGTTTTAGTAATTTTAGTACTTGAACCGAAACTTATTTCATTTCATTTAGTAGCCAAGGCAATACTTCTAATTTTCTTTTCTTTTTTAAGTTTAAGATTTTCATTTATCATTTATATTTTACTTTATTTCAGCTTAAGTTTAATTAACTATTTAAGTAATAATAACAACACTGGAGCAGATGCACTAAATGAAATGCAGTGATCTTTAGTCACTTGACAGCACGATTATGTTATCATCAAGAGAAGTCAATCTTTTCTATTAACATGTGGGTGACATGAATGACAAGCAAATGATCGATCTGTCCTCATATTTACCTGTCTCTCATTCCCATTGCATCAACTAACAACCTGGGATCTTTATCGTGATAATAACTCATCTTCTACCAGAGCATACATTCTGGCAGGACAGGACAGATACAATAAAATTATGTGATTCATCAAGTAAATGACACTAAACAGTTACATTTTCACATAATCAGAAAGCTTATCAATGGCTACTATCAGAGTGCTACTGCATTCTGCATTTTTAACTGCTCATGGATGCATGTTTTCCCTGCACAAAATTCTTGTTACTTGCTGTTGCAAAACAAACAAACAAAAAACAATTCAATAATACTAATCTTTCTGCATGATTTGACATTGTGCATGAAGGAATAATGGTTTATCTAGGACCAAAGTTTGGCCTTCAGAACGTCATCCAAAGCATGTATTAATATCTATGTATTCAAATGCATAGGTCCCTAAACTGCTGTATATGAGACGTTGTTCCCCTTTCTGGAAATCACAGATCAGTTTTCATAGTTAAATGGCTAATGGTAACTCATTTTAACAGTGAATACAGATATTCAGAAAGCAATTAGGCTATGCTTTAAAATCAATATAAATATAAAAAACTTTTACTATTTATGTAAAAGTTCCTAGTCTTTTTGTGTATGATTCATGGGTGCACGCTGTCTTCAGAATCGCTCATGAAAATGTAACACAGCACTTATTACTTGAAACAACTTTCCTTTTTGGCAAATGTTAGATCACAACATCTTGTTGAAATGCCAGTTTCATTTTGAAATATGTTAGATTATGAAAGTAAACTAGGTTTTTATTTGGTTGGGGATGTAAAGAAGAAAGAGATTAGTTTAAGACTGTTGTGAGGCAGAAAGTCCTTTGAGGAGGACAACGTGTCTGGTCCTGACAGTGACTCAGCAGCAGAGTTCAGCACAGCTGTACCGCAGAGACAGAACAAACAAAGACAGAGACAGAAGAAGATGTGCCTGCCAGCTGCATTCACCATGACCACCGTGTACATCTCTCCCTCGCTCCCTGCATCTCTGCAGAGACAGCAGTCATAACACACTGCAGTGAACAGACAGTGTCTGCGAGGCCCGTGGCTGTGCTGCATCCCTGCATGTCTGAATGGATATTATTTAGTATGGCTGTTTAACATGACTAAAGCTGTTATTGCGCTCCATATGAAGATTCACTGCTGAATGCCAGATGGATCTAAAGCAGAAAGCAGCTGTCTCTTGGATGTTAACAGTGTCTGTATTTCACAGGGTGACTTCTCTCATGGGGGCATGGAAGGAGGAGACGGTGGAGAGGTGAGGAAAAAGGACTTTCCATGAAAACAGTGCACTTTGGTCTCCCATTATTTTTTAATTTGATTTGGTTTTTGAAGCATTAGGGCAGGGGTGCCCAAACTCGGTCCTGGAGGGCCGGTGTCCTGCAGAGTTTAGCTCCAATTAGGGAGACAAATTTCATGATTCTGTAATTTTAAAAAAAACCTTGATATGTTGCTAAACTTATTTTTAACAAAAAAGAAAAAAAAATCTATGTAGCATACTGTGTAGCATACCATAAAAGGTTCTACCCATGCATATACAGCGTTCAAAAGTTTGAGGTATTTTATGCTCACGAAGGCTGCATTTATTTGATCAAAAATACTGTAAAAATGTTATTTAAAATTTGTTCATATTTAAAAGAGGAATCTTTTGTAACATTACAAATGTCTTTACTGTCACTTTTTTTAAATTTAATGTATTAATACTGAATAAAAGTATTAATTTAAATAATAATAATAAAATCCTACTTAAACACACTGACTATTTCCTGAGAAAAGATTGACTTTATTGTGAACTCTCTTCATGGAAAGTGTCCAAGGCATCTGCATCTGTGTAGATAAGAATCCCAGGATTAAACCATATATGAAATGACTTAATCTGTGTTCTTTCTGTTCATCAGGGTTATTAGTCCAGAGGCCTGAAGCTGAACCGGTCCCCTCTCTTCCCCCTGAGTTTCTGCTCCAAAGCCTCACCCCTTCCAGACTCCAGATGTTGCTGATATTTTTTTGTGACTGTATGGAAAACCAGAGTTGAAAAAGACTTTCCCTGAGCCCTGTAGCCGTTAGATGTGTGACGCTTCCCCTCCTCTCCATCTGTGGTGTCGTCATGCTGTTCTCTAGTGTTACTGTCATTCCTCTTCCCATCCACACCTCATCTAAAACACACACACACACTCATACATACACACAAAATGAAGCCCAGAGGCTGATATCAGAGGTTGAGGTGGTCTTTTAGGAGCATGGCTGGGGGAAAAAAGAAACCCGCATGACCAGTAATGTAAGAAAAGCAATACATCTCATTTCATCAGGGCATGTAGCAAAGTGCGTCTGGATCTTTGTGAGATCGTAGCCATGTTTCAATTTATTTAGTCTTGAAAATGCTGCAATGTACGCAATGACAAGTTGTATGTACATTAAGAGATACATTACATTCCTTTAGTTCAGTATGTGTGCAGAATAGAGTTACTGTGTGCTTGATCAATAGACTTATCGTGTGATTTGTTAGAGTAAGAACAAATATGTTTATTCACAAAATGTGTATACATAGATACTGTAAAACAAAAAACGATTATCCGTATTGTTGTAGCTGTGCTAGACTTGCATTTTTTCATTAGCTTATACACATGAGATTTGGTTCCAGCTAGGACAAGGAGTCTTTCAATGTTATAGGAAGAGATCAAATCTTCAAACACATCCTGTTTTGTCCTGATTTTGTTGCGATGCATGTGAAGTCGGTGCGCGATCATGAATTTGTCATGCCCGCAATGTAAAAGCAATACTACAGCACCATTGCAAAGTTTGTCATTGGTCTGTTCTGTAGCACTGTGCTATGCTGATTCTAGGCACTGTGTTTTACCAAGGGAATGCTAAGAAGTGTAGATCTGACTGTCTTCATCTTCATTTAGCCTTGCCATCATGGCCACCCAAACCCCATCCCTGTCGGGTCACTCAATGGTGTGTTCAGATCCACCCCAGGCTTGTGTCTGCTGTAGGTAACTAGGACAAAGCTATCAAACATTGCAGTTTGTTCTTTGAAGCCACAAAAAACTGAAGACTGCATGTTGCCTTATCAGCACTCCTGTATTCACTTACACACACTCACACACATATAGACACACACATACACAAAGCTGATCAAAACACAAAAACACACTCTTCTCAAGCTTTTTTCTTTGAGCCTTTCTCACACACACACACATACATAGTATATACACACACAAACAAATGTCCCACATACCTTTTATGTTGGCATCAAAGCAGGCAAGTTTGGTTTTATAAACTGTATAAGTGAAATAAAGTTTTGTTGAAATCTATACTGCTGTGTCAAGTTTGATTTTGCAAGCAGCATTTTGTACACACCACAAAATGCACTGTTTTCACTCAGAAATTTCACTAAGCTAAATTTCACAATTATGAAGAAACAAGAAAGTAACACATTAAATTAAACATGAAGTTTCAAAGTAGATATTGAAATAGTATTTACCAGTAAAATGTACTCCAAAAATCTGTTTTATTAAAAAAACAAAATAGTTGTATTATGGAGCACAAATAGCCTGTAGTATCTGGAACTATCTATAGGGGGCAGTAATTTACAGCTATATATTATTGACGTAATAGAGCCAGCCTTTATTTTGGGGGCTAAAATGGCGTTTTATTTATTTACTCCTAGTTTGTAAATGTCCAAACAAGCTTCCTTTATGATGCCAATAAACTTTAGACATGAAGGGTAATGAATTGCAAAGTATGTTTTTATAATCTAGCACTACAGGATCAAGATCTGCAGTGCTCAACAAACAAACATCAAGCCAAAACACATTCACACAGGCCACTGTAATTATCCACCACTCCTTAAGCACGTTACCCTCTAGGGATCCATCAGCACACACCCAGTACACAGAGAAAATTCCTGAGTCTGGTTACCATTACTCTGGAGACCATTACTCATTGGAACAAGAATAAATAAATAAATAAAATGACACGAGCAGCAGGTATGCTCACACATGCTTGGTTACGTCTTTTGACCAAATGTTGATTAAAGGAATAGTTCACCCAAAGATTTGTTGAAAATGTACTCACCCTCAGGCCATCCAAGATGTAGATGAGTTTTTTCTTCATCAGAGCAGATTTGGAGAAATTTAGCATTACATCACTTGCTCACCAATGTGAATGGTGTACTACAGTGAATGGGTGCCGTCAGAACGAGTATCCAAACAGCTGATAAAAACATCACAATAATCCACAAGTAACCCATGACTCCAGCCCATCAGTTAACATCTTGTTAAGCAAAACATTGTGTGTTTGGAAAAAAAAATAAAAATAAATCCATTGTTAACACCATTAAAGGGATAGTTCACCAAAAAATGAAAATTCTGTCAGTAATTACCTTCATGTCGTCCCAAACCTGTAAGACCTTCATTCATCTTTGGAACACAAATTAAGATCTTTTTTATAAAAAAATAAACCTGCATAGACAGCAACACAACTGACACGTTCAAGGCACAGAAAGGTAGTAAGGACATTGTTAAAATAGTCCATGTGACATCAAAAGTGGTACAACTGTACAGCTACAAGAATACTTTTTGTGCACAAAGAAAACAATAATAAAGACTTTTTTATTTAATAATTCTTCTCTTCCGTGTTATTCTTCTATCATTTTGGGTGAACTATCTTTTTAACTTCTGACTAAAATAGAGATCCCTCTATCCATAATACTGCTTTCTTCAGAGAGAAATCAAAATCAAGAGAGAAATATGCAAAGATCAAGCACCGTTTATAAGCAAAAAAAAACAGTTAAAAGGCAACGGGTTGGATTTTTTTTTTTAAACTGGAGGCATGGATAGAGGACTTTTGTCCAGAAGCGATGGTTTAAATTTAAAATGCTTTAATGATGGATTTGTTTCATAAATACATGCAGCTTATCACTTCACAGTACGTTAATTGATGGACTGGAGTTTTAGGACAGTTTCGGGACATGTAGCATTTATATCAAGTAGCTACCTTGGAGAACAAAAATCTGACTTCTGGCACACGTGGCCAATATCACTCATTTTGATGAGTAACAAACCCACCAAACAAACATTCTTTAGCATCAAAATCACATAAAAACATTAGGAAAATGATCTCAAATCATTTCAGAGACTGTACATCTCAAAAACCAAACCAGTGTAAAAATGCCTACAGCAGCTTCGACTCATTTTGCCACATACATTCTTCAGCTGCTTCCTTCATGAGTCACGCAACCCTGTATTCACCCAAACAACAATTCGCCAACAGTGAAAGCTTGTATTTCCAGTAGTATTGCGTGTGATGCCATGCCCTGTTTACAGTACAAACACTACTTCTGAGGGGGTTCTTCTTGAAGTTTAATGTCTTGTTTTAGCAATTTAATTAATTTATAACTTTCTTCAGCTCTGAATACTCCTTTCATGCGTGAGAAGAGAAATATAGACATGAAATGAAAGAGATGTATAATGCCAGAGAGGTGGATTAGTTTGAGAGGGTGTTCCTCATCCAATG